CGGGGTCGGCCATGCCCCGCGGTGGGGGAGGGGGCTTTCCGAGGCGCCTAGGTCCCCGGGGAGAGGTGTGGGGGGGGTCGGGTCGCGGTGTTTGGGTCCCCGTGAGGGTGTCGGGGTCCCCGGTGGGTCCCGTTATCCCCTAGCGTCGAGGCTTTGCTCCCGCCGGCCCGTCCTAAGCTCTCTCTTCCCTGCGCAGCTCCGGAGATGGCCGCGGAGAGCACCGGGGCGGCCCCAGCCGCTGTCCCAGCCTGCTTGGAGGGGAAAGGCCCTGGGGAGCGGGCGGCCATCCTCCACCAGCACCTCGGCCGCAGGGAGATGACTGATGTGATCATCGAGACCATCCAGCCCCGGCCAGGTACCAGCCTCGCGAGGAGGAAGTGCCGGGTTTTCGGTTTATGGTTGTTGCCCACCCCCTTGTATAAAGTTCCTCCTTAAAGTGGAAAGGAAATGGGATGCTCCCCCAGGCATAAGGTCCTGTGGGTGACAGCTACCTTAGGAATATTGGGATGGTTAAAACTGGTGGATTTGCAGGTCCTTAGTCAGTCATCCATGTTAGGAAACAATTGGAGAAGTTAAGGATTGTGTGTTGGGGACTGGATAGGAAAGCCAGTTCTTCCTCACAAGCGTTTCTCACTACATAAAGCGTTAATTTATTTTGGGCTGTGCTGCCTGGCCCATAGGAGTCAAGTGTTTCAGCTCTACAGACGTTACGTTCCCTGATAGGTGGGAAGCTTAAGGAGAGCAATGCCAAGTCCTGTCAAAGGCGCCACGAAAGCAGAGCAGAAGGACTAGCGTGCTGCTGTGTGGCTCACCTTGCCCGTACTCAGCAAACCTGCCCTGGTTGCTTTGTGTTTGTGTCAGTGTCTGTTGGGATTTGGCCTGGCACAGTACAGAACTTGCCTAGCTGGATTCACAGCGCTGGGGTCCTGCCAGGGGCTCTCACAAGGTGTCTGCCAGTTCCTGAGACACCCCTGGAACAGCAAAGATTAGAGGTGTCTGCTTCTGTTGCTTTCCAGGGATGTAATTTGACTTCTCAGAGTGCTGTTGTGTACATGCAGGCTATGCTTAGAGAACAGTAGATGTTTCTGATGTGCGGTTAGTAATCTGAAAGCTTTTGATTTGTAAAAGATGAAACAAAAGCTGCCATGGAAGGAAGAAAATCTTCAGAGGCTACATCTGCTGAGGACAAAAATAAACATGACGATCAAAGTAAAGAGCGTGAGGCTGCTCCAGACTCGCCTTCAAAACAGCTCCCTGACCAGATTTCCTTCTTCAGCGGGAATCCATCAGTTGAAATAGTTCATGGCATTATGCATCTGTACAAAACAAAGTAAGAATGCTTGACTAATTGTAGCTCTAGTGGGAACAGTGCTCCTGAATCATGCCACCATCCAGAAGGGTGAGTTGGTCACCTGAGAGCTCTGGCTCCTGAGCTGGCTGAGCAGGGACAAACAGGAAGGGTGACTTTTCACCTGCGATGGCAGATGGTGCCTTGCATTAATGGTAGAACTTGAGATTGGCTCAGGTCTCCCAGCTGTGGTGACGCCACTCTGGGTAGAGAGTGCTCATGCCAGGGACTAGCCGTAAGAACATATGACAAATGCTGGTTCCTGAAAGATGGTATTTGAAAGCAGCTTCTTGAGGGATCCCACAGTTAAATTGTGACCTCTAGGATCTTGGCTGCAGGCCTAATGAGCTATCTGAAGCTAGAGATTTCACCCCTTATTTCAGGGATTGCAATTCCACACCGTTCCCTTATAATTGCATGAGAACTTCTGTTTCACGTCTTCCTGAAAGCTATCAGGAGACACAAAATGGGCATTTGAAATAGTAGCAAACATTGCTCACTCATTCCAGGAATAGTTATGAGCCTCTGTGGCTTGCCAACTTCAACTGTTTCTATAGAAAAACAGATGTCAAATTATTCCTGACAAAAACATTGTTTTTTGGAGCTGCCCATTTTAATCCTTTGCTAAAGAGGAATAGTTTCATACGAGTATTCCAAGTACCTACACAACCCCTTGCTTCCCTTTCTTAGTATTTACAAATATGTAAAAGAGGATTGAGATTAACAACAAAATTATTCTAAGAGCTGCAGGTACTGGAATTGTGATGTATCCAGTTGTGCCTTTGTCCTCCCTGTAAAATGACATGAAGTTGTCTAACTATTGTCTTATCAGCAAGATGACCTCCTTAAAAGAAGATGTAAGGCGCAGCGCCATGCTGTGCATCCTCACAGTCCCTGCTACAATGACCAGTCATGACCTGATGAAGTTTGTGGCCTCCTTCTATGAAGTAATTGAGCATATGAAAATCATCAGAGATTCTACTCCAAACCAGTACATGGTGCTGATAAAGTTTAGCTCACAGGTAAGAGCCAGAGATCCCCTTGTTGTGAAAGGGTTGCCACAGTGTCATGTAGCTGCCGTTCAGGGGTGCTCTCTGGCTTCACTGGCCAGCTGTTAGCCAAGAAGCATTTTACCTGCTGCGAAACAGGCCTGTCCTGTTGCCCGGCGCTTTCTTGGGGCTGCTGACTAGGATTAGACCCACGCTGTGAACTGGAGGCAAGTGTCTGTCGTGTTCTGTCTATTGCATTTCTTGCTGGCAGATATTTAAAAAAAAAAAAAAAAAAAGATACGTAGACAAACCCTGTTGTCTGCTACCTCAGAGGTCAGTGCGCTCTTTCAGTTTCATACTCTGCATAATATATTCTTTCTGCTCTCAAAAAAAGAGTAAGAAGAGGACAGCACGTGTCTCTGCATGTTCACAAAGAGATCAGTACATTGTGCTATGATGGACAGAAGGAACCTAGCCAGTTGGGCTTTGTTTGCCTTTTAGAGAAGTCTTGGCCAGCTTTCCTGAGGAGCTGGGTGGTCTCCCTTCCACTGCCGATATAGTGTGAAAAGGGCAGTATCCCCAAAAACTGAGTCTAAGGGATGAATTGGTAACTAGACATCACACATTGCTGCTCACAGGTCTTCCTGAGTTACATTGCTTTAGGCATTCCCCCTGCCAATTCCTGTGTGGACCCTCTTGTTTGTACCTTCCTTTCTCCCAGCTGCAAACAACATATTCTGGGGTCGTGGAGATGGCTTGGTCAGCCCTTCCCCCAACCACAAATGCTCCATAAGATATTTTCCATGCCTTTTGTGAACATGCGGTACTTGTATGTGTTCTGCATTATGTGCTGTTGACCCAAAGATGTCTTTTTGTATATCACTTTGTATCGACTTTGGGCAAATACCAAGTGCTGCACTGTTTTGCAGCAAAGTCATAAAGTCAATTCACTCTGAATTCCTGTTTCTTAGGAAATTCTCTGAAGCCCTGTCCCCTAATGGCTATCTCTGCAGGTAGCAAGAGCCTATTTCATGGGCCTTTGTGCACCTGGCTGGGGCAACTAGGAATATGGGAACCTGGCATTCAGCTCACTTGCAGCTGGTGGGATCACTCCCTAGGGATAGGGTTTGGGTAGGTCACTGAGTGAATAGAATGACATGTTTGACAGGTTTTGTTTTGGTTCTGCCTCTTTGCAAGTGACTCTCAGAGATGGTTCAGAGCATGCCTGAATTGCTCCCAGTGAAATGGATCCCTTCCCACAGTTCCACTGTTGTTACTTTCCCTGACGCAAGTATCTGTCCTGGAATGCAGCCCTCTCTTCCCCTGTTTTTAATTTTTTTTGCAAAGACGCCATGCTTTGCAATTGCACTGAAATTGCTGACGAGGGGCAAAACTGATGCTGAACAGAGAAGGGCATTATTGCTGCTGAGTATTCAAATATCAGAGTAGCCATCGCTGCTGTGAACTTCATTTCTGGACTTCAAGTGGTAGAAAATGGCACTAAACCCAGCGTGGAGATGCAGTGCCTGCTGGCAGGAACTGACTCTCTGAAATGTCTCCTCTGATATCATGGGACTTGGCGCAGGGGGGAAGAGAGGATGCAGCAGATTTCTCCTCCTCTTGCTTGGTAGTGTCAGCTGGAAAGCTTTCTCTTTTTAACTGGCTTCCCTTGGTTTATACATAGGCTGATGCAGATAGCTTTTATATGGCATGCAATGGTCGGCAGTTCAACTCTATAGAGGAAGATGTTTGCCAGTTGGTGTATGTGGAAAGGGCTGAAGTCTTCAAATCAGAAGATGTAAGTTGATTGTGTGGTACTTTTTTTGTGTGTGTTTCTGTATTGGGTTTTTTGTTATGTGTGTGTGGTTTTTTTTTCCCTTGCATTTGAGAGAGTTTTAACAGGATTATTTTGCACTGGGCAGGACGCTAAAAACTGCTTAACATCAGCCCCAAACTCATTTTGTTTCTACTTGGGAGAGTTTGTTCAGTGACTTTATGGGCTTTGTAGCTCACTACTGTGGTGTCTCTAATCTAGAGTAGATATGCAGTAGATCTGATGAATCCAGAAAACTGAAGAAGGCT